TCTTTTTTCGCTCCTTGCAGAGTGGATCTGCGTAACATTTGTTCTTGTATTAAATCTAAGCCCTATACAAACGCAGCATGTGTTTTGTGTGCAGTGGTATTTTTAGTTACCACCAGTTTCCCCGTCAGTCGTCTGAATGTAGAAGAGTTATTTAACATATTCGCAGAAGCTGCACATGGTATCTTGGCTGCCGGGTGGAAGGAACAAGGATCCACATCATGATTTTAACTTCTGCAATGAGCTGGACCAAAGTCTCCTGCTAGGAGGACCAGAGCCAGCTCCAGCTGCAAGCAATCAGCTGGCTCTCTGCAGCAGAACATCGCGGAGCTCGGCTGGGACACAAACAGAAGGCAGACAGACTGATAGAGTTGGGGGGGAAGAATAACACAAAGGGAAATATGGTGCCAGAAATGTGCGAGGGCCTGCAGGAAATATCTTTATCCATCTCTCATCACAAATCTATCCTTCTGTGTTTTTCTTATCTATCTTTGATCATATTATATTATATCTATCTATCTATCTATCTATCTATCTATCTATCTATCTATCTACCTACCTACCTATCTACCTACCTATCTACCTACCTATCTATCTATCTATCTATCTATCTATCTATCTATCTATCTATCTATCTATCTATCTATCTATCTATCTATCTACCTACCTACCTACCTATCTATCTATCTATCTATCTATCTATCTATCTATCTATCTATCTATCTATCTATCTATCCCCATATAGATCTCCAAAGAAACAGTGTTGTAAAAAATATTAAGTTGTCTTAGGCTAGGTTCACATTTGTGCATTCTGGGAATGCACAAAATCATGCACCCCCTCCCCCCAACATAAACACAAAACATGCAACCCTTTTGCAGACACGTGGTGGTGCCATTAATTCTACGCATCTAGCTAATGTAGCCATAATGTCTGGTACCAAAGTGCCATGGGGTTGATTTACTAAAGACAAATACAAACTCTTCCAATTACGCCACTTAGTACATCCTGTGACTTGGAAGCTGCAACCATGCTCATACCTCCAGAAAAAAGATCTGCCTTCCCAACATTTTTATATATGCCTTCAGATACGCCATTTTTTCTCCACCATGTCCCCCACTTTGACTCTTGGGAAAACCTCTCCCTTTGAGCGTCTATGTATACAGGGCCCACATCAAAAAGGTATAATTTCCAATACATACAAACTCTTAATGGACGCTATCCCCCTCGCTAATGACACTCACCATTACCTGCGCAAGTGGTCCCAGTTTTTGCAATGTGACATCGATCTAACACAGTGGAAGAAAATTTTGGAAAACGCATCTAAATCTTCTCTCTGTGTTTATAGAGAAAATACATAAAAATTTTTGATGTTGTGGTACAAAAACCCCCGATATTATTCTTACTTTTAACCCGAATGCTTCTTCTGCCTGCTGGCATTGTGGGAAAGATTTTGGCTCCCTCTTCCACATTTTTTTGGACTTGTGGATCCATTGTCCCTTTTTGGGAAAAGGTTTTGTCTTTTTTACAATTGTTATTACATACCTTTCTACCCTTTGAGCCCCTATACTTTTTATTGAGCCTGCCATTCCCAGGTCTTCCCAAATGTCCAGGAAACTCACCACACATATTTTGACTGCGGCCAGAAGAAGCATTCCTATGTGTTGGTTATCCGCTATACCTCCTTCGATGTCAACTCTGTTTAAAATTATTGCTGATGTGCGATGGATGGAATACATGACTGCTATGCATTCCGGCTCCACAGCTGTGTCTTCGAGGCAGTGTAGCACCCGTGGGATAATTTCTCCCCTTCCCACCTTTCTCCAAATGTGCAGTTCTGATGGCCTCCCCACTGTAGCTATGTGACGTTATTATGTTTGTAACCATGCAGATTTCACCATCGATGTGCTCCTTCTTTCTATTTTGTTCTCTTTTAACGTGTTCTTTTTGTATATATATATATATATATATATATATATATATATATATATATATATATATGTGAAAATCAATAAAAATTGTTAATACAAAAAAAAAAAAGACAAATAGACTGCACACTTTGTAAGTGCAGTTGCACTCTGCAAGGGCATTTGCTCCACAGCTTGGTAAATGAAGAGAAGTTTCACTTTTCAAAGAATACCCAATCAAATGCAAGGAACATTTTTTAAAAAAAGGCATTTTTGCTTGCACGTGATTGGATGAAGGAAGTCAGCAGAGCTTGTCCTCATTTACTAAATTTTATAGCAGTGGTCTCCAAACTGCGTTCCAGGGCCAGATGCGGCCCTTTTCTGGCTTTTATCCAGCCCTTGAGTCTCTATTTTGTTTAACTGATACCAACAATGGGGCACAATTTCCCCCAATGATACCAATGAAGGGGCACAAGTTCTCCCAGTGATTTCAATGATGGGTCACAATTTCTCCCAAGGACACCAACAATGGGACACAATGATGCCAATGATGGGGCAAAATTCCTTTCCATGACATCAACAATGGGGCACAATTCCTTCCACTGACTCCAAAGATGGGACATTATTTTTTCCCACTAACGTCAGAACTTTATCCACTCCCAATGGCCACAGTCCGGTACCCTGAAGGTCTGAACCTTTATTTAGAAAGTTTGGAGACCCCTGCTCTAGAGCAACTGCAGTTGCAAAATGCACAATCTTTTGCCTTGAGTAATTCAACCCCCATGTGTTTTGGTGCCGCACAATTTTAAAAAAGGGTCATGTGCATCTTAACCTCCTCGTGGTATGATTCTTTCCGATTTTTTGTGCTGAAAGCGGTACCATTTTTTTGCATGGAAATATGTAGTTTTTTATTGTAGGCTGTAATTTTTAGGAATAACTCACTGAAATCTGTACGAACAAGAGTCTAGTAAACATTCCGGATATGATAAAACTTGAAACACAAAATCATAAATTATAATTTAATAAATAATCATAAAAAATAATAATATAATAATAAATTTAATTCAATAATATAATCAAACCAAAAACACTGAAATTTGAAATACAGAGGCAAATTTGCACATCGCTGAGCAAAGTCACAAAATCGTTTTCAGTGTCTGATGACGAATTTCCCCCACAAATCATTAGCACTCAATTCAGCAAGTGGTTCTGATTTACTATCGCTGTTCTAAAACCGCTTTTGACGTAAAGGGACGGTTTTTGGACGCCATGGACTTTTCTAAGTTTCCAGGCAGAAAGAACAGTCAAAATGCAGGCAGGGCACAGGACAAAGCAGTAGGGACAAAATATATGTGAAATGCATTGAAACAGCAATGACAGCAAAAATTACATTTTTAAAAATTTCAAATTTCCTGCTGGTTCCGGCGCCCGTACGTCCCGACGTCACGGGGACCAGAACACAGAAGCCGGATGCCGGCATCGGCCGGAGGAGATGGCCGGGGACGCTGCAGGGGACACATCGAGGGAGCGAAGGACAAGGTAAGTGCTGCAGGGACCCCCTGAGCAACGCCGCATGGTAAGCCCGAATGTAGCTCAGGGTTACCGCTCTTGGTACTCAAATTTTACCCCGAGCTACACTCGGGAATACCGCTAAGGAGGTAAAGTGTGTTTTTGTAATGTAGGGCAGCCCATTGAAATGAATGGGCTGCCCTAAACGTGATGCGTGAAAACATGCAAAAATGTGCATGCACTGGAGCCGTAATGTGAAGCTAAATTCTGGTTTTAAAAAAATCTATTTCACTATGTATTCTGAACTCAAATATATCCTTTCTATTGCTCTCAGCCTCCTCCAAATCTCCAAGTTCCTTATTTATAGTACACCAATCTAAATACGTGTTAGAGAGTAACTACATTCATTCCATGGTCCCACTGTATGTAGGAACGTAGCCACCCTTTCGTACCTGTTCCCAAGACTATAGACTAAGGACAATGTGATTTGTAGTGTGCATAGAGCAGTTCACATGACCTCAACTAACGTGCACTGCTCATTCCAAACAAACAGAAGTGAGGGTCACAGAGGACGTTACAAGGAGGCAGAAAAACACAGTAAGAAACAATTTAATGAAAAATAGATTGCAGAGCCATTAAGTAGTGGATGTGTATGGATTATTTTTGAAGACTAAGGATATTGCTCAGTAATTATGTAAGTCCCATGATGTGCAGACTGCTGAGTTCTGTACAGATCTTCACTGCAGAGCTGCCCTGTCCTCTTCCTGCTGCTGAACTTCTGGTGTTGTTGGGGATAACAGTGTTGAGTCTCTGGTCTCAGCTGCACTAATCTGGCTGGGACACGCCCGCTCTTGCCCTCTCCTCCATTGAGAAAGTTTTTCCATTGATTACACTGCCTGAGCCCTCATGCACACTGGACATTTTGATATCGCTGGTAACGTTAGCTGTGTAAAGTCACGTGAGTTTTTCAGCTATTTTTAGCAATTTGCATTAGCCTTTAGCGGTGTTTTCCTGCGTTTGCGTTTTTTGTTGTTTTTACCATTTTTTATTAATAAAAAAGTCCAAAACGCCGGTTTGCTGAGGTTTACTGTGTTTTTCCACATTTTTTCAGCTTCTAGAAACCTACTAGTACTGTTTTTTTTTCCAGCCAAAAAACGTTGATTACAGTCTATGTGTGCATGGACACATAGGATAACATGCTGGGGGGTTTACTGGCTGTAGAAAAAAAACGTCAAAAGTCAAAAACAGCCGCTGTAAAAACATCCCATGTGCATGAGGACTAATACTGATCAGACTGTTCCTCACTGGAGCCTGAAGCTGTTAACTTATTTTGGGGATATGTGATGGGATGAGACATATGAATACCTTCTTCTTTAACCACCTTCCGCCCGCCATATAGTACAATGACGGGCGCAAGGTGGTTCTCTCATTCTGATAGGACGTCATATGACGTCCTTCCATTCTCACCGCGCATGTGCGGCTCAGGGAGCGTGCAGTGTGGCGATCGCCGGTGCGCTGTGTCCCTCGGACACAGCGGATCACGGAAAGAGCCGAAGATGGTGGCTCGGTCATGTGATCAGCTGTGTCCAATCATAGCTGATCACATGTAAATAGGGAAATGCCGGTTATTGGCATTTCTCTCCTCACGAGCTGTCATGCTGACAGCTCAAGAGGGGAGGAGAGGAGAGCCGGTAATCGGCTTTCCGAGGAGGGGACATGTACACTGATCATCAGGGCACTGATGATCAGTGTGCCCTGATGATCAGTGTGGCCCCAGAAGTGCCACCACTCAGTGTCCATCAGTGCCAGCAGTCAGTGCTCATCAGTGCCAGGTGCCAGTGCCCATCAATGCCACATATCAGTGCATACTAGTGCACATCAATGCCACATATCAGTGCCCATCTGAGCTGCCTTTCAATGTCACCCATCAGTGCCAGCCAGTGCTACCTATCAATGCCAATCAGTGCCACCTATCAGTGCTGCCAGTCAGTGCCGCCTATCAGTGCCAGTCAGTGCCGCCTATCAGTGCCAGTCAGTGCTGCCTATCAGTGCCGCCTATCAGTGCCATATATCAGTGTCATGTATCAGTGCTGACTTTCAGTGCCCATCAGTGATGCCTGTCAATGCCCATCAGTGCAACCTACCAGTGCCTCCACATCTGTGCCCATCAGTGCCACCTATCAGTGTCCATCAGTGCAGCCTATCAGTGCCCATCACTGCAACCTCATTAGCGCACATCAGTGAAGGAGAAAAATCACTTATTTACAAAATTGTATAACAAAAACGAAGAAAAAACTTTTTTTTTTTTTCAAAATTTTCAGTGGTTTTTGGTTTAAGAAAAAAAAAATCCCAGAAGTGATTAAATACCACCAAAAGAAAGCTCTATCTGTCTCAAAAAAATGATAAAAATTTCATATGGGTACAGTGTTGCATGACCGTGCAATTGTCATTCAAAGTGTGACAGCGCTGAAAGCTGGAAATTGGCCTGGGCAGGAAGGGGGTATACAGTTGCAAGAAAAAGTATGTGAACCCCTTGGGATTACGTGGAGTTTTGCATGAATTGGGCATAAAATGTGCTCTGAATGTTATCTAAGTCACAATAGAAGAACACAGTCTGCTGAACATGATACTACACAAACATTAGATGTTGCCATGGTTTAATTGCACATAACATGTAAACATTCACAGTGCAGGGAGGAAAAAGTATGTGAACCTTTGGACTTAATAACTGATTGACCCTCCTTTGGCAGCAATAACCTCAACCAAATGTTTCCTGTAGTTGCAGATCAGACCTGCACAACGATCTGGAGTCATTTTGGACCACTCCTCTTCACAAAACTGTTTCAGTGTAGCAATATTCTTGGGATGTCTGGTGTGAATCGCTCTCTTAAGGTCATGCCACAGCATTTCAATCGGGTTGAGGTCAGGACTTTGACTGGGCCACTCCAGAAGGTGTATTCTGTGCTGTTGCAGCCATTGTTTTGTTGAATTACTTGTATGCTTTGGGTCATTGTCCTGTTGCATCACCCATCCTCTGCGGAGCTTCAGTTGGCGGAAAGATGGTCGTACGTTTTCCTGCAAAATGTCTTGATAAACTCTGGAATTCATTTTCCCATCAATGACAACAATCCGTCCAGGCCCTGAGGCAGCAAAGCAGCCCCAAACCATGATGCTCCCTCCGCCATGTTTTACAGTGGGGATGAGGTTTTGATGTTGGTGTGCTGTGCCTTTTTCTCTCCACACATAGTGTTGTGTGTTCTTCCCAAACAACTCAATCTTGGTTTCATCTGTCCACAGTATATTTTGCCAGTAGTGCTGTGGAACATCGAGTGCTCTTTTGCAAACTTCAAACGTGCTGCAATAGTCTTTTTGGACAGCAATGGCTTCCTCCGTGGTGTCCTCCCATGTACTCCATTCTTGTTTAATGTTTTCCTTATTGTAGATGTGTCAACAAAAATGTTAGCATGTGCCAGAGATTTCTGTAGGTCTTTAGCTGACACTCTGGGATTCTTCTTTACCTCATGCAGCATTCTGCGCTGTGCTCTTGCAGTCATTTTTACAGGACGACCACGCCTAGGGAGAGTAGCAACAGTGCTAAACTTTCTCCATTTGTAGACAGTCGGTCTTACCGTGGACACATGAACATCAAGGCTTTTGGAGATACTTTTGTAACCCTTCCCAGCTTCATGCAAGTCAACAATTCTTGATCGTAGGTCTTCTGAGAGCTCTTTTCTGCGAGGCATGGTTCACATCAGACAGTGCTTCTTGAAACCAGTAAACCCAAAACAGGTGTGTGTTTTTTAAGGGCAGGACAGCTGTCAGCAACACATCCAATATCATCACACTGATTGGAGTCAAGGTTGGCTCACTCCTGGCTCCAATTAGCTCTGGGAGAAGTCATTAAGCTAGGGCCTCACATACTTTTTCCTCCCTGCACTGTGAATGTTTACATGTTATGTGCAATTAAACCATGGCAACATCTAATGTTTGTGTAGTATTATGTTCAGCAGACTGTGTTCTTCTATTGTTGTGACTTAGATGACGTTCAGAGCACATTTTATGCCCAATTCATGCAAAACTCCACGTAATCCCAAGGGGTTCACATACTTTTTCTTGCAACTGTAAGTGCCCTGTAGGCTAGTGGTTAAGAGAGTTATACTGTGTGACTTTAAAATCCAGGATAAGGTTCACCCCAGGGGCAGACTGACCATTTGGAAACTCGGGGACTGCCCGAGGGCCTGGGGTCAGTAGGGGGCCCCATGAGATGCCCCTGGTACCTTTTTCATAGGCTTTTTTGAGTTTGGGCAAGGACACAGGGGCCCCATGATCCCCTATTGCCTGGGGGCCCCATGGGTTGTCAGTCCCCCCTGGTTCACCCCCTCCCATTAGAGCTCAATTAGCTTCTTGCTCGGCCAAAGTGGCTGGAGAAAGTGACAGCAAGACCTGAAAGTAACATTTTACGTTTCCGACCAGGTTCTTAGTAGTGTAGCGCTGACCCCCGCAAGGGCTGCTAAAGATAGGCAGGTTCTTTCAAACAGTAGAGAGGCTACCGGTCACCCAAGCACAGTCCCACGCACATTGACAATTAAGGCTCATTCTAGGAATTGTCTTTTTAAGATTTATTGCAGGGTATGGCCAGGATGTCTACCTCACTGGAACAATAGACAATAAGCAACCTCTGGCAACTGGTTACCCTCTGGCACTTGCCCAAGTATTGGTCCCAATCTTTACTCACAGTTTCCCATTAGCTGTATGTCACCCAGCATCTCCAGGAAAATCCTCTGTGAAGGAAATAAGCATCCCTTTCTCAGTCTTGGACTGGGAAACAGTGCCCTTCAGCAAGAAATCTTCTTTTGCAATTCTTTTCAGGCCCTCAGTCCAACAACTGCTGAGGCCCAAACAGCAATTTCTTGTCTCTCTGGCTATCCCCCAGAAACAACAGCCTCCCAGGAGATGGAGCTCTCACTGATGAGGAAAGAACAATCTGCTCAGGCTTCCTGCACATTTATCACCTCCCCAGCCACCTTCTAGATGTCCCCTTCCAGGAATTGGCTATAGCATGATCGATATTTTTAGCTGATCATTTGAATCTACCTCTCTTTGCCCTGTAAGATTCTTCCAGAGGCTGGAGGAAGCAATCAAACTCTCAGATCAGTAATCCTGATTGGACCCACCTGGTCGAAAATTACTCAACTTATTGCAGTTCAGTCAAAAACTAAATTTACCTATCAGCCTAACTGGGAGGGGCTACAATATTAAGGGGAGATCAGTGAATGGAAGTTCACTGGTCTCCCTCCCTCTACCTGGCAGCATCCACCATGCTTGTCCCAGATCTGCTGATGGGAATGCAGAGCCTGAAAGACATGGTAGTGGATCATGTGGGGATGGAATGAAGCGATTGGGCAGCTGTACAGCTACCTGATCAAGTTAATCTGACAGCTGACAATTGGATTGTCACTGCTGCCAACGTGACCATGTGACTCCTCAGCCCTGAATCTTCTGTTTACTTCTTCTTTGGGTGTCCATGTTAGTGCTTGCATTATGTGGACACCTTTTATTGGATGTCCATCAGCCAGAGGTCTCTCAGGATCCAGAAGAGAACCAACATCAGCAGAGAGGAGTGAAGGGGACCAGCAATCTCAATTTCCATTGCACAGCTGGATTCAGGTTCCCCCGGATGAGGCAATGGACCTGGAGGAGGGTCATAGGTGAGTATATCTGGCTTCACAAAGTAGGAGGAAAAATTGCACAGTTGGATGGGTTAGAGGTGGTGGGAGGGAGGGCTGGAAAAAAAATAGCTTTTGCTTAGAGTGGGGCTTTAATAAAGTAGCACCCTACTCCCTGTCTTTATTCTGCTACATATTGCTAATACCAAAAGTGGCAGTGTTCTTTGGCTAGCTTTAAGGCCAATTCACACTACATGGTTTCAGTTTCTTTTATTCTGGATCCAAAACGCACAGCAAGTAGGTTATATGGTTGTCAATGTCATAGTTCACAGTTCCAGTGTGTTTCAGTTGCAGAAAAAAAAAACTAGAACATGCTGCATTTTTTCTGCACAGAACTGTACTGGAACGTGGTAAAACGCATCAAAAATGCACTGGAACACACATGTCCCTATTTGAATTGAAGAAAAAGAGAGGGGGAAAAATAAACTGGAATGCATAAAAACACACTGCAACGCGTCAAAAGCCCACTGGAATGTGCCAAAACCGCATCAAAAAGCGCATGCAAAAACGCATCTGGAACACATCTGGACTGCATTTCTATAGTGTGAACCAGCCCTTAAAGTCTGGTAAACTCTTTGGTGGACTCAGATGTTTCGTCAGGGAGTATTCTATGTTCCAGTTTTGCTTCAACAAGATCTAATGTGTTTATGTATCACAATGATTCCCGTCTCAAAAACAAACACTGTTCGTATTTACATGGCAGCCGTCTGCTGTAGCATTTGTATGATGTTTGCTCTCCTGCTCTCTAATGTTTTGTACAGTACGCTGGGTATTGTGAAAGCAGCATTTTCCCTGTAATGAAATTACCAGAACCCAGTAAAGGGAATCCCTGCAGCATTCCACTAATGTGGAGATGAGCGGAAGATCCGATTCCTAATTACAGAGAATGTTAATGCGGGGTCACAGGATAATGCCCACCTGGCTTGGTTAGCATTATTGATAAAACCTATTCAGTAATCCATCTTTGCTAACTAGGTGCAAATCATGCTGTGATATCAACACAAATAAACACACCCGTCCTTCTATATAAAGCTTTTGCCAACTTCATAGCGCTTATATGTGGTGGCAAGAAAGATGGGCTTTAAAGCCTTACCATGGCACCTGTGCTTCCAAAGTAGTATATAGTTGTGTAAACAGAGTAAAAAAGTGAGCGCTAATCAGTTCAGCAGCTGTACACTCAAGGCAACCAGTAAAACCTCAATAAATAGTATCAAAGAAATAGTGCAGCACT